ACATTTTACATCAATGAGGACCTATGCAATTAAGACATAAGACAATATATGGCACATTTGTTGAGAGTTCTGAGTCTATAATAAGACCAGGTCATTGACTTTATTTTAAGTGTTACTATGGGTAGCTATAGGCTCCACATGATAAGTCTCAGACATGGAGTTGTAAAAGGGCATAAAGACATCAAAAGGGCAAGCAGACAGCCCCCTGTCGATACCCTGTACTAAAGTTGATACCTTCAGTATATTTCAAACAGCAAAGGGGGGTACTTAATAGCAGGGGCAGGGGCGAGAGACCCCTAATTTCCTCTTAAAGAGACTGCCTTTTATTAAGATTTGATTTATCCTCCCAAAATGGCTCCATGTCACACTTCACTAACTGTATTTCATTTCTTGGCAGAGTCAAGCAACGGATCAGTTATGCGTCAAGGGTACTCAAATGGTACATCAAATCTATATTTCCATGATGGGGTTTCGGCTGTGGATAAAAAATGATCGGGTCCAGAGAAATGCCCTTTGGGTCAATGATCGGGACAATGGCTTTGTCTATGCCCTCGGACGTCAAAATGTAAATGTAGTGGCTGTCCATGCCTCAGTCCTTTTCAATATGCCTTTCCCTTTGGCTGTTGAAAAATATCCTTATCTATGAGAAGCAGGTGATAGATTTAGACCAGCACGTCTCTACAGTGCTGTGCTCCCATCTACTCTATTGATATCTCACATCTACTAAGCAATCCAAGCTACAGGAAAAAAAAGTACCCACACCCTCTGGGTCTCATAGCCCCAAATCATATTGGCTCTACTTCCTGTAGGATCACCTCTGGGGTCGCCGCAATGAATAACATCTATCAACGCCCTGAAGTGGAAGCCAGGAGCTTCTGGAGGTAAAAGGCTTTAGTCCTCAACTCAGAGAGCCTACAGCAACAGTCCCTATCTGATATGTGACACAAGCTTGCACATGTGTGCGTGTGAAACAGTACAGGAGAACAACTGCTGGAGAGGTTGAGAGACAACAAGAGAGAGATAAAGCGATGTGTACAACATATGTGTGAGCAAATTAATTGCTAAGGGAATTGCGATCACTATCGCATCATGTGATGTAATTTAAGAAACAAATGGGGGATTTGCCACCAGATCAGGGGAAAGATGAGAAGATGAGCTGCCAGGCTGAACATAGTATGGCTGTCTACATCAGGGTGATGTGGATAACAAACACATAAGAAATAAGTATTAAAAGATCATATAAGTCAAAAAAGGGGTTAGGGAATGTAAGAGAACCAGAGGCCATTCTTTATTGTTGCCACCGTCTCCTTCTTACAGACATTTCCCTTTAGTATTTTCATCTGCCTCCTTGCACATGTATCCCCTTTCTTCCCTTTAAAATTTCATGAGAGAAAATAGGTAATTTAATCTTCATTAAACTTACAGGGGGCCCACTCTCTGGCCTGACCGGCTGAATTAACTGCGAGGCCTCGGGGGATTAGACAGTTGGGCTGAAATTCCGTAACCCTGACAAGCATTATATCATTGCATCTCTATTTTTTAATGGGAATGAGATGATCCCTCCCTCTTCAATGTCAAATAAGTCCTTAAGAGGCTTACTATATACAGTAGAACACAGGAGGGAACTTTTGATGGACTGACTTGTGAAGGTGAAGAGAGTAGGGCAGAGGAAAGGAGATAGGTCCTGGTTTGGGATTGTAATGACGTTGAAAAGGCAGTAAATAAATAAGATTAGCTTGGTCCTCTTTGAAATCTGATTGATGTGTCTTTTGGGATGCCCCCCATGAAAGACCTACTGAGTCTGTGGCTTTCATCCCTGACCGAAAATCGATGAGCCAGGATGTATGAGAAGCTCCTGCCCTCTACCCACCAATCTCTTGCAGGATACCCAGGTAACTGTCTCACAATAAAGAGTATCATTTATTTACTATCGCTATTCAAGTAGAGCTTTGACATATAAAGCGCACTGTCTTCAAACAAATATACAGTGTTCAACCAACATGATTCAACACCACTGAGTACTTGATAGATTATCTTCCTGAAATGAGACTGAACGTAAACCTGAACATAAATGCTTTTCTGGTCTCCATCAATCCATCCAGCTTCTGTGTGTTGAATTAGGACTGGCTGGTGTAATTGCATAACACATGAGTATGGCCTCCCGGGTTAGGTTTTCCATCTTACACAAAGTGGAGACAAGGAAATGGGAAACGCTTCCGGAATTGGGTATAATTGTGACTGGCGGCGCCTTGAATTGTGTTCTGTCTGACACATGAGGTAGTCTACGGCAGTATAGTTTAGTCTGAAGGACGACAAAAACTACACGCCAGGTTTAAATGAACTTCTTTGACGTAAGTGGAGATTCTTGTGAGCGACTCTCTCTGGTGCCCGCTGCTCGTTTGAGGATGACAGAAGGTTAATCAAGCTTTAAAGCATGAGATTACAACAGACATGACAAGCAGGATAGAATAGATTTGGCACACTGTCTGATACAACTACTCGAGGAACCTTCTCCACTAATAAATGCAGGGACTGAAAAGCTGTCATTCTGCACGTCAGGGAGAAAGCAAATATGTACCCAAAAAAGAACACAAACATGATTGCTGCTGTACTGATCCGAAAGTCAAAACTGAATTCGGTAAATACTGACTAGAACTTGGAAGTTTCTCCATTTACAAAAACCCAACGTTTTTAGTGGCGGGAATGTCTTTTGTCACCAAATTGTCCGTCGCTGGGGAACTTAACTGTTTACTTTTTACAGACCCTTAAAAAAACTGCCTTTACCTCAAACTGTGTGTAATGGTTTTTGATTGTCCCTCCGCAAGCTTTCTAAATCTGATCTGGAAACGAGTTCAATCGCTATAGAGCGTAGGCATAGGGGGGATATGTTTCATCTCATGAAAGGGGACACAAATAAATCTTTAGGCACATATTCTATGCTGTATAGCAACTGAACTTATTTCCACATTCCATTAAAAAAAAAAAACCATTGAGCCTGCATGTCAAAAGGATTTTCCCCTCTCATCACCTCAGAGTAGAGCATCCATGCAGCTGTTTATCAAACCATACTTTAGGTTCCATATCAGTAAACGGGGACCCACAGTGAATAATACATTTTGGTAGCATAGTGATGTGTACTAGCAGAAAAAGTGCACTGGGAAGGGGCTGATGCAGGGAGAGAGCCATCATGAGAAGCACAGTTGTCTAGCAAGTATAATAAACTAGGTTGCAGTCATACAGAATGTTCTATTTTATATCAGGCAAAAACAAAGAAAACATTCATAACCCATTCAAACATTCAACATAGCAGCGCTACTCTGGGGGTTCATGAGTATCCCCACGTCTAACCAGAGATTGTCATTTAGTATGTCCATAAGCTGTGCAACTCATATCCACCAACAAAGTATTCCACATCTTTAAAGACAACATTCATAGCTATGTGTCAGCGAACCAATGTCCTCTCCTTGCTTTGCTTAAATTACCTTAAGTTTCTTCTTCTGATTTGAACTATGGTTTTTCTGAGAAAATACATATATATAAAGAAATTTGTTTAGCGAAACACTCAATAGACTTTTGACAGATACTCCATTAAGACACGAGCATAATGTCAGGTACTTGGACATGCAAACACAACAGATCAAATATATATAATAGCGAGAGACATTTTTGAAACACGCAGCCGAGTTGCAGCCAATTCATTCTAAGCCAAATTTGCCTAAAAGTAGGCCTGCACAGCATAGCTTACAAGACAAGAATCCTTCAGAAACAGGCATACAAGTATCCAGGTTGCTTTGCACATCAGTGAGACGATGAAATAAAAATAAAGAAATATATCACACAAAACCATTATTTGTATACTGGACAGGTGTTTCCAGCAGAACATTTCCTAAACATTGCCACAAGATAGCAAATTATATATCATGCTGTGACAACATAGGCAAACAGGAAGAGCAAGACAATGAGACGATAACTGGAGCTGCTCTACAAGGCAGAAATGATGCATAGTAAATCAAAAATGATTTCCTTCAAGTAAAGTGACCGCTGCCAGGATTGTATTAGTGTGACAGGATTAAACATTGCAGATCAAAGGGCTAACACGAGGGCAACTTTAATAATAGTGTACTTAACTGTATTGGATCTTAAAGGTATTGAATGTAATATTGACATCATGTCGTTCAGCAGCATTATTGTCCATTACAGGCTGTCCAGTAAAGAGTTTCCTTCTCTTGTACTGCACATGCTAATTGTATGCTATGCTTAACAAATATGTATTACTGGTTTTGAAATATATTGTAATATGTTTAAGTTATATGTGTTATTTGAACCTGTTATTTGTAAAATTGTTTCACATGCTTTTATTCTAATGAACACAGGGCATCATTTTGTTTGTGAATTCCTTTTGGCCATTAACAAAAAGCATGACTTTTTAATGTGCTTTCAATAAACTAGGGTAATGTTATCTTATGCCATACTTCTGCTGTGGCAAGACTTAAAATGGCATGTTGCATTTATTTTGTATTGTCTGCTCTAAAAATATATATGTGCTAAGAGAATTGGTTCCTAACACAGATCATAAGGGAGAGAATAATATCAACGTAAAGCTCTACTTGTGGTCTTTGCTAAATACGTATTAATACAGACCAGTAATAATAAGTCAATGTTTTCACATGACATTGCAAAATTGAAGTTTAGGACATTTTAGACGTCTTTTTTTCTCAATGAGGAGCTGCGTGTTAATAGGAAGCAGATGTTGTCTTGGCTGTAAATCAATTGAATTTAACACTTCCATGGTTGCTTTTTTACATAGAGTTAATCTTACATGTTATACCTTGTTAAACAGTTGCCTAGTCAAGTTCAGTAACACAGCACAATTCTCTGCATGTTGTAGACCAGCTCAGCTTAAAGAAGGAAGGACTTGTGAGTTATCTAGCAAAGAGAAGTGCAGCAAGAGACAGGTTCGTGCTCTATGTGGGTTAACAAAGGTATTTTAATGCACACACCTAGTGTTCTGTTACCATAGTTAGCACCCGGCCACCGAGAGGATGGACTGGAAGGGCTTTGATCACCTGCAACAATGTTGGTGATAAAAATAAAAAAAACAGAAAAACAAGAAGAAGGGAAGGATGGAGAAAAGGGGAAAGAGAAAAGGCCATCAGAGGTGACACATTGCAGATATAAGGCAGGACATATCCACTCCCAGAGTTTTGTGAAAAACACATTTTCTTAAAAAGCTGCACACACATTTTTACACAGACACAGACTCAAGTTAAATACAATCCCAAGAAAGAACAAGATGTGAAGAAAGTAGCTGGTTATTTTTTAATGATAGGCAGAATTATAGGTGTTGACATAAGAGTGAAGTGTGTGTGAGTAAGTGTCAGAATTATTTTGATGAGGTTTATATTGAAGTTACATGATCTGTCATGCATTATATATTTAGACATGGTCTTTGATTAACAAAAACATTAACACATAATTATGTATCATAACTTGCATTACATTGCCCATGATCATAGCGTAAAGGGTTGTTTAAGTGTGATAATGTGACCCAGGCAGTGTTAGAAAAAGAGACAATATGTCCTGGCCTTGTCATCAAACGGGTAACTTTCCCCCCTTACTTATCTGTAAATAATGATCTTCTTGATATCAATTCAAATGGACCACATATTGTACACCATCAGAACACATATCTTATTTGACTAATTCTGCTTATAATAACAATAGATAATCAGACATGACACTAATTGTCACTTTAAACAAAGAGTACATGACAGTCGATTTGCAATTGTAAATCCCAATTGTACATTTTGCCCACTAACCCTTTTATAATATATATTAGACAGAAAATTACTTTCTGAAGCTTAAAATGATATGTTCATTTGTATTGCTTGCTTTGCAGTGTGTAGCCTGTCTGTTGCAGACTCACCTTATCCAGCTATGGTCTGATTTTTCGCTCCTCTTTTTTTTCTACCATGATTGCAACTGTGGAAATGACAGCACCTGTGGCTCTTCCACAGAACTGTGACTTGCATATGAATTGACCCTGGCACCCCGACCAGGTGGAACTCACCTGGGTACAGGCCATACAACGTGGCAGAATGAAATATTTTAACACCAGGATTACACTAAATCAGCCTCGGTCCAACTGCAGCCAGCATACATTATCATAAGTGCTTTATGAATGGCACAGGGACAATATATTGCTAATGACCTGCACTGGGCCACACATGTACTTGTTTCTGTGACAGCTTTTCTTCATTGTACATATGTTACTGTTTAATGTGTGTACCAATCATGAATCCTTGGAACCAGACAAAAGACATAGGACTACACACTAAGTATATCAAAACTGTAGAGCAAAGATTGTTGCATGTGATGAAAAGGAAACCATTAACAACTAGAAGGGTTAGGGTCCTTTCTGCACACAGGTAAGAGTATAAATTGGCACATACCATTTCGCGGTGTCTTTTTTCTCCGATCACGGAAGGCAGCTCCGGACTGCAGGGCTTCCATTAGGCTATCCATTACACCAGTCTCATCTCCCTCTGTAAAAGAACACATGATATAAGCAAACATGTTTACTGGACCAAACATACATTAACATAACTAATTACATAATAACATGCATATAGGTCTTTACATGTACAAACGCACACACACACACGACTGGTCTAATTGTAGGTATTCTGGAGTGGAAACAATGGATGCCCTCTAACTAAAGGTGCATAAACAATCACCTTAAATCAAAACAAGAGTGAGCTGAATGAATAAAAAAATATTTTATAGAGCACATGCCTGAGTGAGACAGAGGCCTGTCACTCAGGCCTGTCCTTTTTTTTCAGTAAACAGTTTTAGAGGAGGAAAAATACACTTAGACTTTAGCAACTAATACAGGCAGAGGAGCCTCAGGATGAAAGCATCCACTGATGGTCATTGACAGATATTCTTTCTGTGGCTAACGCAGGGGAGCTAAGTGCTCTTTACAAAGATTTAGTGGGGAGCCGCTCGATACCCGGGCGCTCTATCATTGTTCAGTCAATGACACCAGGACCGGCCTTCGAAAAACATTCCCCCTGCCCACGGTTTTAGCTGTCGTGTGGATCCATGAAACTAGAGAACTGGAGGCAGTTGGCCTGCATGGTGAAAAGACAGGTAGGAGACATGTAAAGTGCTATGAGGCCAACAGCATGACAAGTTGTGCCCACACTGCACATGCAGCATACGGAAAGAGAGTTCAAAAATAAGCTTAAGTTCCATATCTGGGTCATCTATCTTTACGCCCCAATACTAATGAGTCAGAGGGACACCCTTTTTATCATTGTGGTCCAGAACAGACATTATTTTAAACTAGGATCATTAGGGTGACTTATTGTGGAGCTGGAGACTTGGCCATCAATTATTTTACATACATGAGTGAACTAGCTCTTTCTCATGTTTACCATCGGAGTCCAGGCATCTTGTTTTTGTACTGCGATAAGAGCTAGAGCAGAAGGGTAATATTCGACAATAAATGGAGACAACTGCTACTTTCAGCACAAAGCCCTTTTTCAGACACTGTGGTGATCAATCTTTTGTTATTCTCTTGTTCCCAAAAAGACACGACACTCAGCCAAATTGAATTTATGAACAAAACACGTTGACACAGAATGCTACACGATTAATATAAGGAAATGGCACATATTTTTCCATTATCAGAGAAAGTAGGGCCTGCTTATGCTTTCACCTTCTCCTCCAGCAACAAACCAACCAACCTGCAATCATTGATGCAAGTGAACGAAGACAGAACAACTAAGAATAGAAACACATTCTTAATATATTTTAAAAAAGCAACTCTTCACTCATACTCACACACATTTCTGTCTATATCTCATTCCTTGCCTTTCTTCCTCAAGTCCTTCCCAAGGGCTACTTATAAATCAAAGTATATGTTCCGGCTGTGTGCTGTGCTTAAAAGCAATTCCGATTAAATCAAGCTTAATTAGACCAGCTTTATCAGAACAAAACCAAAGCTGAGCCAAGTAGTGCTTATCTCAAATTGCAGCACTACACCTTAGATAACAAGCTCATTGGTTTAAAAAGGGGGAGCATGGGTTTTGTCTACTGTGGACCCAGGTGAACAACTTGCAGCTTCTATAACTGTATCAACTCCAAAATCTCTAGCTATCTTCTTCTTATGTAGGCTAGCAAGGACACATGGTGTGTCTGACAGAAGGTAGAACGTGTTAAGTGGCAGGTAAACATTTATCTACAACCACCTTGGCACAATAAACTTTCTGACAGCCCCTTCTTCATGGAGACCTAGACATCACAGGGGGCACCTGAGACTTTGATGAATGTGTCCTACTTCTAGCTTAACTGTAGCACAATTCATCATTTGTAATGGCCAGGACTTGGGAGCAGTAGTAGACTGGGGTTCAGAGAGAGGAATGCAGACACAAAGAACCACAATGACTAAAATGGGAAACATACTCCCAAGTCACTCCACGGTGCTCAATTAACTATGTCCTATTGGACCAGAGCTTAAACTCGAGCAGACCTTACTCGAAGCAAAAAATGGTCACAAATGAGCTTTCACACTATATGAACTTATTAATATAGTCCTATATATGCATGTAAGTGCCTTTACTTAACAAAGACAAGGGAGCCCTTAGTTGAAAAATAAATCAAACTGAATATTATTTAACTAGACTTATTCCAGTAATCCTCAGAGCAAACATTCTTCATCATTTATTGTATTGCATTGCTTTAGTAGACATGTTTGCCTCATTCCTGCAATTTACTCTTGTCTTATTTTGAGATGTTAAACTTAGGGCAAATATTCATCCGCTACTCATTAGCACCAGTGGTAGATTGCATGCTGGGGAATTACAGGAAAGCTAACCTTTTATTCCCAAAGATCTTTCTCAAGAGGAAAGATCCCCTTTGCTCACAGGAAATTGCTTTCTAAATGGGTTAAGATGGGCTAAGACCCAAGACATTGACAAACCCTTCCAGTGATGAAACACCTTGGTGGGCACCTCAACAGACAGCCCCGGGGTCCTTTAACGGTCTTATTAAAGATTGTGGAAGTGCTTAACATGGTTGCGGCTTTTGCACTTTTAGGTACTTTCTTAAATAGTTAAACCTTTAAGAGCCGAAATAAAGCTATGTGAAACTTTACCTCCCAGAGAGTGATGGTGTACCTATTCCATATCTTTCCCTTTGATCCATGCCAACATCCAGTCTCTCATTCACCCTCTTCTATACCTGAATATCAGGTGGTACCTTGACCCAAATGTGACAATGAGCCCTAGGGATTGGCTCACTCTGCTGTATATTTACAAGAGGTACTATCACATTCTCTAATTAAGAGGCATAACAAGAGCAATGTGCTCTCAGAAGGATCGGCATGAAAGAAAAACAGATTCGTTTTTTCCCTAATAAAAAATAAATAAAATACAGTCAAAAGGGAAGAAAATGGCTGCAATGTACCATTCATCAACCCTAGCAGCTGAACACCAAGTGGAGTGTCAACAGTTGTAAATGGAAGTATAGGAAAGGAATACGTAAATATATTGTAAGTGTGACTATCAGAGAGGAAGATGTAGAGGATATAATGAGAGAGGAGGAAGAATATACATGTAGGGAGAAAGACAGCGCCAGGGAGGCAGCGAGTGAGAGAAGTGAACAGGGTTTCTCCTGGTGTGCTTGGTGGAGTGGGTTATTGAGAGAGACTAGTGGAGCGAGGTAAGACACAAGGTCGTAAAACACCTTCCTGGATACTTGACGGCCTGAGCCGTGTGACATTTAATTATTCCTAAAACATATACTGCAGTATGCACGGACAGGCACACATACCCTTGCCTCTGTTTGTAAAACCTGCCTATACATTTGAAGTGATTCGGATGCATGTTCTGTATTTGTAAGTCTATTGGTTCGACTGTATCATTTATGGGACATCATTTTAAACTGACAGATTAGTTTTTGACAAACAAAGACAGTTAGGCATGACGAGCGTGAGGCAGATAGAAAGTGTACTCGACTAATGTTAGATGCAAGATGACCTATACTCATGGCTGATCACGGCAAGATCGTTTAGAGGAGACAAAGGAATCCAGCCAAGTCTTTCAGAAAACCAATGCATCAGGAAGCCTCCATATACAACTTTTGAACCTTAGTCAAGTACCATTTAGGAATCAATCAAACAAGCTACATTTATGCAAAACCTGACATCTAATTTGTTTATTTATACTAATTAAAAAACAAGTACATAACTGCAAGTAAAAGAACAGCTGTTGCCTCGAAAATGTGTCAAAAGCATTTCAATCATCCAAGCAAAAAACATTGTATGTATTAAACTAAAATGCTGGGCTTTTTTTTTAAAACACCAAAGGCATGGCATTTCTATAATTATGCAGCAGTGTCAACAAAGCCTGTTCATAAATTCAATTTGCTATCTGTCATCTCCTGCATGTTGTGCAGGGGAGAAAAAACACAGTGGATCGATTGAGAACTCAATTTCTGATGGCTCGCATGCAGCCTTTGTGATTCATGGGGGAAAAGAGAGACAAATACGTTTTAGAATTCTAAAAAGCATGTGTCTGGTACGTGTGGGTTTCTAATATATCGGCAAATTATGACATCCCTTATACCACAAGTGAAAATGGTAACAACAGTGGCATGTTAATTGGATAGATAAATAACAGTACGAGCATACAAAGTAATGACATTTGTCAAAGTCACATATTTTAATCAATCACAGCTACATATCCTCTGAATTTATTAAAGCAAAGCACTCTGCTTCCTAAACAAATTAAAGTGTTTGAGGAAAATCAGGGTCTCTTATCTGCTTCTATCTACTATCCTTCCAGTAGCCAATCCCTGAGTCTAATTTGCACTGTAATGAGATCTAATGAGTGCTTACAGGCCTTGTCTTTGATGAATTAAAACCACTGGAAGAGAGGAAAACAGTAAGAGGTTAACCTCTCCCCAGTCGCCCCCCATGACTCCAGGAGAGTATATGAGAAAGAAACAGATGAATAAAGAGCAGAGGAAGTGTTTACTTGATGCATACTGTTTTTGAACACATTTGAGCCCATCTGTTCCCCTACTGAGAGTCACCTGTGCAATTAACCTGGACCATTAGCGGTGAAACAAAAACCTCATGGAGGGGGGGTTGTTGCTTTATGGCCAGGTGGAGAGGCAACATATACACATTATTTTAATCTTGCCTCCCTCTCTCCACTCTAGCACCTGGTTTTGTGTTACTTTCACTTCTGAATTCAGGCTCAGTCCTCTAGACCGACACAACCACCTGCATTACTCAATTTCCCCCTCCTCTACTCTCTCACTGTCTGGCTTTGAGGGGAGTCACCCCCCTCCCTTCACCCTGCTTACCTGCAGACCCAGGCAGACAGAGACCATTACTGCCACAGAGAGCAAATAAAACACAAGTGCCGGAAGGACAGCAGTCCTTCCTTTGTTTTTCACTCTCTCCTTTTGATTCCATCGCCCTGCAGTCCAACCAACAAACTCTTACAAAAGCTTTGACACAATGACCATGAAA